ACGAAACAAGAACTAGAATTCTTCTTATACATATCTCCACATCTGCATAACACAACGAAAATAATGGAAAATTTTCCTACAAATTATTCATGCTTGTCTTGATGATTTGCGTTATGGTGTAAAAGGGTTGCTGAATGAACCAAAATACGGGCACTTGAGAGACTTACATAAAGCTATCAAGCTATCTGAACCGGCTTTAGTTTCATCATATGCCACGGTGACTAGTCTTGGAAGTAATCAAGAGGTTAGTCTGTTTTTTTTTTTCCCTTGAGTCGAGGGTCTATTGGAAGCGGCCTCTCTACCTCAAAGGTAGGGGAAAGGTTTACGTACACTCTATCCTCTCCAGATCTCACTATGTGAGACAACACTCGATATGTTGTAATTATCGTGATTTTTCTTCTAATGTTGTTTACATTTTTTTTGACCAACATAGGCTCATGTCTATAGATCAAAATCTGGAGCTTGTGCTGCTTTTTTATCCAACTATGACTCTAGATATTCAGTTAAAGTCACCTTTCAGAATAGGCCATACGATTTGCCTCCATGGTCCATCAGCATTCTTCCCGACTGCAAAACTGCTGTTTACAACACTGCACGGGTAATGGTCCTCTCTATAACAGTCATTCTCCATAACAACATTTCTCTGTTATAGTCATGTTTTTTGTGGAACTGATCTTTCATGTTAAGGCTATATTATATGTTTTCTATAACAACATTTCGCTATAGCAGCCAAAAAGTACTGAGATAAATAATGCTGTAATTGATGCAGTTATAGAAAGGTTTTACTGTATAAGTATTCTGGGCAGAAGTTTTAATGTCCTCTATGTAATGCTGCAGGTTAACTCCCGAAGCTCGAGCATAAAGATGACGCCTGCAGGTGGTGGATTGTCTTGGCAGTCGTACAATGAAGAAACACCGACTGCTGATGACAGTGATAGACTTTCAGCTAACGGACTATGGGAACAGAAAAACGTAACAAGAGATTCATCAGACTATCTGTGGTACATGACAGAGTGAGTAACTTTCATTTTCTTACTTTTTTCGAATGATTATATTTAGTTCCGTCTTTACTCAGACATATCTAATATCGTGATGACTTTTTTTGTTACTTTTTCCAGTGTAAATATAGCATCTAATGAAGGATTTCTAAAGAACGGAAAGGATCCTTATTTCACTGTTATGTCCGCTGGTCATGTCTTGCATGTTTTCGTCAATGGCAAACTATCAGGTAGCAGAAACAACACTATTTTGGGATTATGACAAATGCTTTTTCCTAACAAAGTACTCCCTCAGTTCCAATTTGTTTGACTTGACACGAAATTTAAGAAAGTAAAGTTTGACTCTTGTGGCTTTAAACATGCTGCGTGGAAAGTTGGAATAAAGAGTTGCCCATTAAAGAAGAAGAAAAGAGACATTCTTTTTGGAATGGACCAAAAAGGATAGTAAAACAAACAAATTGAAACGGATGGAGTACATCTTTTTACGTCTATTCCTATATTCCTAATTTCTCTTTGTCCTTGAATTGTTGTAGGAACTGTTTATGGGACATTGGATAATCCAAAACTTACATACAGTGGCAATGTGAAGTTAAGAGCTGGTATTAACAAGATTTCTCTGCTCAGTGTTTCCGTTGGTCTCCCGGTTAGTTTTCTATTTCCTGTTTCTCCCGATCCTTTATTAGCAGCGATAACTGAACCGTTACAGTAATATTTTTTTATATAACCTATGGTTTTAAATACATTTCAGAACGTTGGCGTGCATTATGATACGTGGAATGCAGGAGTTCTAGGTCCAGTCACGTTGAGCGGTCTCAATGAAGGGTCCAGAAACTTGGCGAAACAGAGATGGTCTTACAAGGTATGTTAACTAACTAATTGCTTCTCTTCTCTCCCTAAAGCCTGATCTTCGTATAACTTTGATATGCTTTTCCTTGAGCCGAGGGTCTATCGGAAACAACCTCTCTACCTCCCAAGGTAGGGGTAAGGTCTGCGTACACTCTACCCTCCCAAGACCTTACCTGTGGGATTACATTGCATATGTTGTTGTTGATACCTGAATAGTCTATAATTTACTTGTTCATAGGTTGGTCTGAAAGGCGAATCGTTAAGTCTTCACTCCTTAAGTGGGAGTTCTTCTGTTGAATGGATTCGAGGTTCACTAGTTGCTCAAAAGCAGCCTCTGACTTGGTACAAGGTAAAATTCCTATTGGTATAACGTCTATAACGTCAACAAAACTACATATCAACATGTGTTTATCGATTTTATGATGTTGAATAACATGTTGTAACGCGTAGTTAATAGACTAATACCTTTTCCAGGCTACATTTAACGCGCCTGGAGGAAATGAACCACTAGCTTTAGACATGGCAAGTATGGGAAAAGGTCAGATATGGATAAATGGTGAAGGCGTAGGTCGCCATTGGCCTGGATACATAGCACAAGGCGACTGTAGCAAATGCAGTTATGCTGGAACGTTCAACGAGAAGAAATGTCAGACTAACTGCGGACAACCTTCTCAGAGATGGTAAGCGATTTCCATAATTCCAACAACCTTTAGCGGAGTTGTGGGACTAGATCAACTCCTACTTGTTTACAACAAAGAGTTGAAAACCGTTTAGATATTAGGAACATGTTTTATCACTTATATTCCATAGGATCACACGAGGTAGAGGTAAGGTCTGCCTACACTCTACCTTCCCCAGATCTCATCTGCGGGAATAGACTGAGTATGTTGATGTTGTTGTTGTTCCATAGGATCACACAAATTAACAAAACACAAGATGTTTGAAGAAATGTGGTACTTTTTACCTTCAACTTGTTTTGAGAAACTTCGCGAAATTGTTAATTTCAGGTACCACGTTCCACGATCGTGGCTGAAACCAAGTGGAAACTTGTTGGTAGTATTTGAAGAATGGGGTGGTAATCCAACAGGAATTTCTCTAGTCAGGAGATCAAGATAAAGAACTCGAAAAGGTATACTTTTCGCCTTTGACAACACTGGTCTTGATTCAAAATTATGTATTTCACGTCACGTCTAATTCCATAAATTATCTATATATATTCATATTAACTGTTACCATTGTTTTCTACTATGACAGTGAAACTTGTTCAGTAAATATGGTGCTTGAATTCGCGCCGAAAAATACATACAGGAAGCTAACAATGGAGGCTATAGTTTGCAAATTGCAGCTGAATAAAACATTTGAAGAAAAAGAAATATTTGATTAAAGGTATATAAATTTACAGAGAATTTTCTTGATTCTCTGTAAAACTTTGGTTTATAAAGTTTATACAGAGTTCTGTTATTTGGATTATGAGATTGAAGAAAATTGTACAGCTTCCAAATACTATTAGAATACAAATAAGTTTCATGTAACTATATACAATTATTACAATTTGTGTATGTGAAATATCAATACAAGTTATATCAAGGAAGTCAATTTTTCAGTAACCAGATGTTTCATGTTCGAGTTCTGAGTTTTGAGTCACTTTTAGTTGTAGTGTTTTAACCCTCAAAGTGAGATTTTCCAGCGCGGATCCAATTATACTAATTGGGCTCCAAAGCAGGTACCAAACACGGAGAACCAAAAATGAATAAATAAGATCTAAACTATAACATTTGTTGTTATTTTTGTTAAGAGCCTTGTATCACTTGGTTTTTACATTAATGTTTTGAATTCTATTATAGATTTGTTTCATTTGAGGTTGAAAGCCAATATAGCAATTACAACTCCATGAATATCATTTTATATCTTATATTTGTGTTGGTGGAAAATAACAGATATTTTGTAAAATTAATTGAGGTGTGTATAATGGTTATAAAAGAAAAATAAAAATCGAAAGTAGGATGATGAACGGAACTTACTCATACTCCTTGTTTACACCAAGTCAGTCACGTATTTGTACATCATTTTTTAACATTTACTATTATTAATTGACATGCATGAATTCTTACCTCGTTAAATCATTTAACTATAGTAAATTTAAATGCTTGCCAAATGAGGGGAGGGGAGGGGGGGGGGGGGGGGGGAAGGGGGGAATGAAAGAAAGAGGTGTAACGCTTATTTTATTATTATAAATGTCAATTATTCTTATTAAAAAATGTCATTTAATTTATTTTTCAAATTCAAATGTTTTGCTCTTAGGATTTTAAACGTGATTTTGAAATTTTAGGCATAAATATTGTTATTATAAATGAAAAATGATGGACAAACTTCAAATCCTAATACAATATAAAAGAATTTACTATGTATTTGACTTTGAAAAGAACATTCATTATTTACTTGATATGAACACAAAAAATAATACTTACCATGTTGGCATAAACATGTATTGCTATATAGACCAAAAATTAAATAAAATTATATTACTATGAACACAAAGATATTTCAATTATTATTTTACCAAAGATGTATAATTAATTTATTACCAAAATTAGAGATTTAAATTTATTACCAAAATTAGAGATGTATAATTAATTTATTACCAAAATTAGAGATTTATTTTAATTCATCTTTGGAGATGTTTCAATAATTTTTTTGCCAAATTTGAATACTACTAATCCATCAACTTACCCCATAATTATGGTTAACAAATCACATTTATAGATTATTTCACTCTACTCTTTTAACTTTTAATGGTCAATTTTGGTTCCTCAATTCAGTCCTTATGATATTTTACTAAACATATTTAAACTTCAATCAATCAAAATATACACTTTTGATCCATTTACTCGTGGATATTCAAAAAATCATATCACTTAATAACCTTTATAAGAATCAAAATAAGAATTTATCAATAACCGAGGAACTAAAAGTATAAATTATGTAAAAAAAATACTATGATTACCCTCCTATATTATATATATATTTGCTTGTTGCTCAAGTAGTTTCATACTCACAAACAAAACAAGTTCTTTGTTTTCACAACATATTCATTATTTTTCGATTGATTGGTCTGAGGTTATTGATAAAAAAGATTTGTTTAAGTTTGCCTCTAAAATGGTGTCTCAAAAGCCCAAAGTTGTTATAATAGGGGCAGGAATTGCTGGTCTTACAGCAGGTAAAAAGCTCTACACAACACAAAACTCAAATGAACTATTTGAGCTTTGTGTTGTAGAAGGTGGAAACAGAATTGGTGGAAGAATTTTCACTACTGAATTTTGTGGTGATAGAGTTGAAATGGGTGCAACTTGGATTCATGGAATTGAAGGAAATCCAATATACAAAATTGCTCAAGAAATCAATGGATTTGAAACTGATGAGCCATGGGATAGTATGGGAGGTAAAGTCGATAAAAAAGTGACTATAACAGAAGATGGACATGAGGTACATTCATCCTTAGTTAACTCGGTATCAAATTTTTTCAGTAATCTATTGGAGTTTTCATCAGATGAAGGGGATTTTGATGGTGGGGTTGGTAGAAAGATTGTTGAAAGCTTGAATCTTGAAGAAAATGGTGGTGTTGATAAGATAAGTATGGGTTCTTATCTTAGAAAAGGGCTCGAGTTTTACTGGGGTTTGAAGAAAGATCAAGAAAATGTTGGAAGTTTCAATCTTGAAAATGATGGTGTTGAAAATGATCAAGAAAATGTTGAAAGCTTCAATATTGAGAATGATGGTATTGAAAAAGATCAAGAAAATGTTGAAAACTTCAATCTTGAAAGTGGTGGTATTGAAAATGATCAAGAAAATGTTGAAAGCTTCAATATTGACGATAGTGGTATTGAAAGAGATCAAGATAATGTTGAAAGCTTCAATCTTGATGATGGTGGTGTTGAGAAAGATCAAGAAAATGTAGAAAGCTTCAATCTTGACGATGGTGGTATTGAGAAAGATCAAGAAAATGTAGAAAGCTTCCATCTTGAAAATGTTGGTATTGAGAAAGGTCAAGAAAATGTTGAAGTTTTTGAAAATTGGAGTAGAAAAGCACTTGAAGAAGGTATTTTTGCTATGTTTGAGAATATACATAGGCATTATTCATCAACTGGTGATTTAGGTACTTTAGATTTCAATGGAGAAAGTGAGTTTTGTAATTTTCCTGGAGATGAAATAACAATAGCCAAAGGGTATTCATCTGTTGTTGAATCTTTGGCTTCTGTTTTACCATCTGGTTTGATCCAATTAGGTCGAAAAGTCTCGAAAATTGAATGGCAATTGGAAAATAGTGATGGTAATAAGCCAGTGAAGTTGCATTTTAGTGATGGATCAGTTATGTATGCTGATCATGTCATTGTTACAGTCTCATTAGGAGTCCTAAAACAAGGAATTCGCGAGGACTCGAGTCTTTTTAGTCCTCCCCTTCCTAAGTTCAAGACTGAAGCAATTTCAAGACTTGGTTTTGGTGTTGTTGATAAGGTGTTCTTGCAACTTAGCCCAACTCATCATGATGGGATAAATTTCCCTAACATGATGATGGTTTTTCATCAGCCAGGCTCAAAACTGAAGAACCCGAAAATCCCCTTGTGGATAAGGAGGACTACACTTACACATCCAGTTTATCCAGAGTCCAGAGTTGTGGTATCCTGGTTTGCAGGTGAAGAAGCTATGAAGGTTGAAACTCTTGATGATGAGGAGATCATCGAGGGGGTCTCGACAACAATGTCACAGTTTATAGCAAACACAAAGCATTTCAAGAATTCCATCAAGTTTAGTAAAGTTTTGAAGTGCAAATGGGGTACTGATCCATTGTTTTTGGGATCATATACTCATATAGCTGTTGGATCAAGTGGAGATGATTTGGATGCTATGGCGGAACCATTGCCTGAAGAGATTAGTGATGATAAAAATTCGAAGAAGAGTCCTCGACTTCAAGTTTTATTTGCAGGTGAAGCAACGAGTAGAAATTACTATTCAACAACTCATGGTGCTTATCTTACTGGTCTTAGAGAAGCTAATAGGCTTCTTGAGCATTTTCAATGTGTTGATGTCTGAAAAAAGATTGTTCTTGTTTGCTTGTTTGTCTTGTTATTGTTTTTCATATTCATTTGGAATTGTGTGTTTGTTATACTCTCTCTCTGTATGATGGGAATTTGAAAGAGTAAAGGGAACTAAAGAAGCTTTTCATTTTGTATTGTTTTAATTCCTTTCTATAATTTGATGGTTCTTGCTTTCTTAACTTTATTGACAAATGACCAACATGAGTTGTGGTGCACTGGTGAGAGTGTTTCACCTTTAACCAGAGGTCTCAGGTTCGAGCCCTGGGTATGGAGAAAATCTTGTTGGGAGCGCCACCCCCGAATGGGCCCTATAGAGCGCGATCTGGATTTAGTCGGAGCTCCAATGTGGGCTCCGGACACCAGGGTGGGAAACCAAAAAAAAAAAACTTTATTGACAAATGAACATGAGGATATAGTTGGAAGTTTTTTAAAAGTATATATTTGGGAAAATACCTAAAAAAAATCCCAAATAGCCCATTTCCTCTTATTACGATCTTTAACTATGCAGGTATCCTATTGCTCCCCTATTCTATTGTAACGTATCATTTACCCCTTCAACAATTGATGTCAAAGAGAGTGTGATACACATATACAACAACATATACAATGTATTTTTTTTTTGTGACAAGGGAAACCCACATCTGCTACCTTTGGGTGCGCACAAGGAAAAAAACCCAACTCCTATGCAATAGTTTGCAAACCATATAAGAGAGGTAACCCGTACTAAGGTGTGTACAAGGGAAACTCCTGATCCTATGCAATAGCTCGCAACTAGTCAAGAGAGGTAACCAGTACTAAACAAGCTCAGTGTGACGAGCTCGACCTAGAAGACAAACTTCTTGCTTTTGCTGGGGCAAGGGATTTCGAGCTTGAGACTTATCTGGTGTAATTTCACAAGTTCATTTCAATTTTTGAAAAAAATAAAACTAATAATTTTCTTTTTAATTATTCCTTGTCCCCTTTGTCACAAAATTAAGGTACAAAATAAGACAATGATAAGTCACTTATTTAAAGTTCTAAAATCTGTCTACTATTTGCAAGATTTGCAGCATGTAGTAGAAACTTAGCATCATTTTATTACTTTACACTAACAAAGTATATCTATGGTCAGACATCTCTATAACATCTCATTATAACCGATTTAAGTGTATTTTGAAACTGACTTTACATGTTATGTTATATTCTATGTTCTCTATAAACAACATTTCGCTATAGCAACCAAAAAAATATCCAGACGAACAACATCATTATAGACAGGCTTCGACTGTATAGGTTTTCTGTTGGTAAACCCAAGCAAAGGGATCCTTACCCCTGCCTCGAGAGGTAAAGAGGTTGTTTCCAATAAACCTGTGGCTCAAGAAAAAACATAACAAAGGGATACACTCATTTTTGTTCTATAAAGTAATTGATCATAAGAAGTATTTTCTTGTACCTCAGAAAATTTTCAACTAGTTCTCCAATGCTTGCCATTAAGTTATAAATTCTCAGACTGCACTAGGTGATAATAATCAGTTCTATAGATACTGTCTTCAACGACAAGTCATATAAAATCACAGCAGTACTAAAAACCGATCATGTAGAAACATTAGTAAAAAACTTCATATCTCTATCCATGTGGATGGATCAAACATATACGCCGGAAGCAAGTAGCAAAAACAAGGATCCAAAACCCTGCATGAGATGCGGTGAGGAGTCAGCACAAGCAACTAGCAAAAACAACAGATCAAATCATTATAGTGTACGTACCAAGAAAACAGACGCCACTGTCCCTGTTACAAGCTCCTTTGCAAGACTGCGGTATTTCCTCGGAGAAGTAGCTTCATAGCTGTCACAAATTCATAGGTTTTGTAAGAAGAAGAAAAGACAACAGCACTTGTAGAACCCGCAAAAAAATAAAATTGCAGCAAACTGTTACTCTTTAGCATTGTAAAGTTATAGTCTGATGAGTAATCCGAGAATATTTTTTATTCGTTGAAGTACTATAATTTAATGATTTTGGAGAATTGCCATGATTCATGGATTACATCTCAGTAAGGAATTTCGGAGAATTATATCTCAGCAAAGTTGCATATCCCACTATGTACTCATCAAGAAGTACGTCACAGAACAGATACTTCCTGAAAGTGATGTCTCTCAAATATCTAAACTGCCCGAGGGCAAGCTCTAAACCTTGCTAGTTTGCTCCAAGGTAATAGAAAAAAGATTTCTTTTACCACTTTTTCCTATAGGTCATATCTAAGAGTAGCAACTCTAAAGTCGTATAGACTTCTCTTTGTTTTCTCTTTTGATTGTAAATTTATATAGACTTCTGAAGAGTGATTACTTACAAGGTAGGCAGCGTCAAAGCCAAAGAATTTTGAAATCATGTGGAGGAAGACATACAATTAAGACTACTTTAGCTACAAGCCCTTAAGCCGTAATTGTGACTTGAACTTTTCATCTTAAAGCTTCACATTAAATACAAGTGGAGAGCTCTAATTGTACCTTGGAACAAGTTCCACGATTTCTCTCAAAAGGAAAAGGAAAGGGCTTAAAGCTTTTAAGGGGAAAAAGGAAAATAAACCCACCAGGTTGCTTAATCTATCCATACTTACTCCCCACATCCTTCCACCTCGAGAAGGAAGGAAAAATATCTCACTCTGCCTGGTTAGACAGTTAATCTAATACAAGCATGTGACATTTTTAAACAAGAAATAAAGTTGACCAAAAGTTAATGGCCCAAACTCTTCAAGTTTAACTCCAACAATCAAAAGATGCTATAAAACATAGTTGTGATTCACATAAAATGAATAATGTCTGCATGCCAGGGGTATGGAGTAGGAATCATCTAAGTTGCACAGACTCTTCACTTTTGATGCCGCATCCGCGTTGGATTCCCCAAAAATACACTACTTTTGGCGAATCTGACACGCAACCCTTGACATTTTTGAAGAGTCTGAGCAACATAGGGAATGATCTACATCCCCTAAGATTTCTTATCCTATTTGATGTAAACTGTACTCAAACTTCCATCATTAACAAACAGCTACAACAAGCATGCCTAAACCCCAAAGCTATTCTAACACAATCAGCCACCAAAGAAAAATTTCTTCAACAAAAGTAATATGTTCCTAACTAAGTTGCGCAGACTCTTCACTTTCAATGCCGCACCCGTGTCGGATTCTCCAAGAATACACTACTTTTGGCGAATCCGACACGCACCCCTTGACATATTTGAAGAGTCCACGCAACATAGGTTCCTAATAAGCATTGTACTTCATATTAGATAACCAAATTAACAATTTCATGTTATTAAATTCCTTACTCACAAAATCCAACTAAATCTTCAACAGTCTATTTCGTTCAAAAATAAATAAAAAATCAACTGCATTTCAACAAACTGACAAAGCACCCTTTTCGCACAGATGCTGATACTATCAATTATCAAATATCAATCAACTATGACTCAGATACTCTCCTTCAGTTATAGCAAGGAAAATCTCAGGAACGGTATACACGTAGCATAAGCAAATATTTGTATGTGATCTAGCAAAAAGCTATGACAGTAGGAGGAGGAGACAATGAACATGAAATGTCACATACGAAACTTCTTTTCCCTACTTCTATTAGGAAAGTCATTTTCCTTATTGTTAAGCAACTTGTTTTCCTAGAGAAAATATTTTCCTTAATACTTTGACCAACCAAACATGAAAAAATTGGAAATTCATACCAAAAACACCCGTATTTTCTCCCTCTATAACTCGAACACACAACCTTACTGTTGCAACCCCTCTTCTCTGCCAAACACACCCTTAATCTAATTAGATCCACTAAAGAAAACCCTCAAAATCACTCTAATTCAGGTCAATTTCATTCCAACATTGATCAATAAGCATGAAAAAAATTGCAAAAATATCAAAATCCACCATTTTATGAGCAACATTGATAAATAACACATCTTTTTAATGCATGAAAAAATTGCAAAAATATCTAAAATCCACCATTTTTATGAGCTTGAAAAAGATCAGATCGAGGACTTACATGAAAAATGAAGCAGTTACAACAAGACCAATTGCAAGCATGAACACTGCTAGGGTTGGGTACCACGCATCAGGTACTGGACTCGAGATCGGTTTTGCTGATTGAGCCTTTCACAAGAAAAATACAACAAAATCACATCAAAATTTTCAAAAAAAATCACCGAAACTATAAGATTAACAACAAAATTGAAACAAAGGAGAAGAAATTGTATACCATTTCTTCAGTAAATTTGAGAGAAATCAGATGATCTCGCGTAGACTCGAACTGTTGAAAGCCTCTACTACGGCTGTGAATCTGTCTTTTAAGTAGTCAAGTAAGAAAGGAGTGGCAAATGGTCGGGTCGGGTCGGAAGTGGACGGGTCGAAAACGGGTTAAATAAAGTAAAATTATTTGATTACCCAAAATAAGTTTAGATTCTCAAAAAACAAGAATTTATATATGAAAAAAATTAACAAAAAAAAATTAATAATAGGATATTCATTTTTCAGTATATCCATATTGGTTTATCAGACTAATATTTAATACGTGACATTAGATGGTTACTTGTTTGTGTTTTGAACTATTGTACGTTATTGAAGTTCAATATTAAAAGAAGTGACTTTTGAATTTCGAATATAAAAAATAAATTTATATCAATGAGAATATTATGGAGAAGTTTTGAAAACACTGATGAACCACTATTTTTGAAAGCTTGAAAAAGTGAGTTTTGAGGACATTAATAGGAATGTGAATGTTACATTGGTAGTTCAAGCCTTGGTAAAATTACTCTTTTAAGTTTGGAACATACTCATTCCGTTGCTAGTTATATGTCATCATTTTTTATTTCACGTACCTTAAGAAATTAAGTAAGTTTACTATTTTACCTTTATTTAATTTTTTTAAGTCAACTTTTTAATCAATGATTTGATTAATTAATTTGACCAATGAGCATGGATTATTCATTTAGTTTTTCTATATTGATCAACTATATATTTTCAAGGCAAATAACTCACAAAGGTAAAATAGAAAAAAAATTGTAATTTATGCATTAATTTTATGAAATAACAAGTATTATGGACCAACTATTTATCGTAAGGATGACATATAAAAAGAAACGGAAGAAATAATATATTTGAAACTTAATATATTTGATTCAAACTTCAAGCTCGTATATAGAAAGTTTGATAATGACAAACCAAACTTATTCTCTTATTATATTGTGATGTCCAATCATAAACTCCCTATATAATATATTATATAATATAATAAATCATTTTTTTTACTATATAATATATATTTATTTTTCTACTATAAGGGAGTTTATATAATATATAATAATATAATATAATAAATCATTTACAAATGACTTAAAATATTTCATATTTAAAGGATATATAATAAAATAGGTTCACTCTCAAAATTCTATCCGGGTCACATATATTGGGACAGAAAAAATAACATATATCATTTTAAAATTACCAAAAAAGTATTATAAATAATAATAATTAACAACTTAAAATATCTTAAAGACATTTTAAAAGGGTTAATTTTGTAATTGTAATTTCTACTATATAATAAAAGGGAGTTTATATAATATATATTCTACTATTATATAATATCATAATAAAACCCCTTTTATTATATAGTAGAAATAAATATAATATATATATATATAATATAATAAATCATTTACAAATGACTTAAAATATTTAATATTTAAAAGATATATAATAAAATAGGTTGACTCTCAAAATTCTATACGGGTCACATATATTGGGACAAAAAAAATAACATATATCATTTCAAAATTACCAAAAAAGTATTATAAATAATAATAATTAACAACTTAAAATATCTGAAAGACATTTTAAAAGGGTTAATTTTGTAAGTTTATCCATATCACATAAATTAGGACAAAGTGACCAGCAATGTAAGTTATTTGAAAGTTACATAAAAATATTATAAATCACAATAATTAATAACTTAGAACATTTTTTTTTAAAATGCAAATTTGGATGACTCTTCAAATTTCATTTGTGTCACATAAATTGAGACAACAAAAATAACATATATTGCGCCCATTTTAATTTATTTGTCTTAATTTTTTTTTATATTTAAAAATTGCGTAAAAATACTATAAATCATGATAATTGACAACATAAAATATTTCAAAAATAAATACATATAAAAAAATTCGATTAATTCTTGAAATTAATCTATCGTTAAAAATTATGTATAAAATACAATAAATCGTGATTTTGACCACTTAAAATATTTATTAAAAAAACAGAAAAAATAAATTGACTAATTCTTAAAATTAATCTATCAATGTCACATAAAATGAGACAAAAGTAGTAATATGTATTGTTTAATGTGAAATTATTGAAAACTACATAAAATGTATTATAAATGTTAACAATTAACAACATTTGATTGAATCTTGAAATTTTATCAATGCTACATACATTGAGACAAGTGGAGTAATATATATTAAGTATTTAAAAATTACGTACAACCATATTGCTTTCTGTAGGCTTCGAATTATCGTGGTCATTTTTTAGGCTGATACAAGTTTTGTACTTTTTTTTTAATATTATAAATCGCAATAATTAATAATTTAAAATATTTTAAAAAATATATTAAAAATTTAGTTGGTTTCGGGAATTTTATTTATACTATATAAAATGGGACAAAGGAAGCAACATATATCGTTTACAAATGACTTAAAAAACATTAAAAATTAGAATAATTACCAATTTAAAATATTTAAAGCTATATAATAAAATAGGTTCACTCTCAGAATTCTTTCAGGCTCACATATATTAGGACAGAAAAAGTAACACATATCATTTTAAAATTACCAAAAAGTATTATAAATAATAATAATTAACAACTTAAAATATCTGAAAGACATTTTAAAAGGGTTAATTTTGTATTTTTATCCATATCACATAAATTAGGACAAAGTGACCAGTAATGTTGGTTATTTGAAAGTTACATCAAAATATTATAAATCACAATAATTAATAACTTGAAACATTTTTTTAAAAAAAAATTAAAATTTGGATGACTCTCCAAATTTTATTTGTGTGACATAAATTGAGACAACAAAAATAACATATATTGGGTCCATTTTAATTTATTTGTCTTATTTTTTTTTGGGTTTTTTATATTTAAAAAATGCGTAAAAATATTATAAATCATGATAATTGACAACATAAAATATGTTTTGAAAAAAAATAGAAAAAATTCCACACATTCTTTAAGTGAATCTATCGTAAAAATACTATAAATCATGATAATTGACAACATAAAATATTTCAAAAATGTTGTATGTGGATAGTCTTATTGTGCCTTGAATAGCGTCAAATAAAGTACAAGTTTGTGATAAAAAAACTTATTCCTTTATCCACGCAAACAATCGCTTCAAAATCTCCGTTATTAGCTCCAAAACATACCATTTATATTATTGGGCCCGTGCCCGTGCATAGCACGGGCAACATTACCTAGTATAACGTATAAACCCGACCGACTATTTGGGTAAAGATCCCAACCTTTAATCCTCAATCTATAGACCATGTGTATTTTGGTTAGATTTTTTATTTTTTTTATTTTTGGTGTTTGATAGGAGGGCAAAAAGTAATTTTTCAAAATAAACATCTATTTTTAAACAACCAAAAAGCAATTCACATGACAATAAAGTTACAATTGCTTCAGCAAAAAAAGAAAGAAGTTACAATTGTGTATTACATTATCTCAAATAGTTGAAACAAACTCACAAGCTCTTACATGAACAACTACCTCAATAGCCTAACTGACAGACTGAGTTACATACATGAAAATTGCAGCAATGTTGTTGCTGCCCGGTTAGGCGTTTACAACAGCGTCCTGTTACACGACAACAATGTTTTCAGATAATCATATAGTGACTGTTCAAGCATAACACGAACACGAACACGTGCACGTAAAGAATTTGCAGATACTTGCAGTTAGATAGACGCCAGGAGCAAAGAGAACCTCAAGGAAATGTTGAAGTTGCATGAAATGAAGAACACGAGAGAAAGAGCTCGCTATAGTGTTGCATATTTCTCGGCTATCCTATTGATTTGGATCGTATTCCTGAAAGCCGTTCTTGAATCTCTCAACCATTTTAGTTTCTTCTTCTTTACCAACCTTACAATTTCGCCAATCAGCTCTATCTGCTATATTCAACAAGCCTGCTAAAACCTGTGGGATATTCATGCAATGTTACGTCTGTTACTAAAGCGAAATTATAGCTGTTAAGACATATTTTACATAAAAAAGGATGCAAACTAAGCGTTTATCACCTCTCAAAGATTTTAGCTAAATGATACAGTACTAGATAAAGGTGGACACATCTTACCTCCCGACCAAATTGAGCTGGGAATTTTTCATTCTCCTCAATAACATGTGACAAAATATCACCTCCAGGAACTTCAACATAAAATAAGCTGCAACTTCTGTCGAACTGTGTCCGCAATGCTTGTCTTCCTTCTGCAGTAAAAAGAAAGCACCAACATGTCATCACTTAGACTGAATTGCTCTCACGCAAGACAATCTGATAGTTAAAACGCAAAACAATGAAAGCACCCGTGGAGTATATTCAAATCCATGAGGTTTTCTCCACAACCATGCTTACCCACATTTCCAATTAGCAGAGACTAGGACAAGAAAAGAATTTAATGAGGAAATCAGAGGTTTAGAATTTAGCATCTGTGCTGCTACCTAGTATAACAATGGTTAGAATTATCGGTTGAGTAGAACTTGCAAGATAGGTCTACATAATGTAGGAGTAACCTATGCACCCAAATGTGCTGGGCATATATAAATATGGTAAATTATCAAAAGAAATTGTTCACATCCAAAGCTTCTCAAGAAAATGATATTCAGTTTTATAGTCTCTTTTTTTTTTTTTTTTTTTTTTTTTGGTTTTGGTATTAAGACAGTGGTGGAGATAACAACCTTCCTAGGGTACTCTTGATGCAGGTGCCATGCTCGTAAGGACATTTGAAGAAACTACTCATTTCAGTCTGTATACATTACCAGGAAATTAAAGGATAACGACAAGTAGCTAAGGCTGAGGCATGAATAACAACTGAGCTGTTTTTTCCACATTATTTTTTCTACCTTTACCATTTTTCTTTCTATTATCTGGTTGGGGAATGTGGCAGGGACTCAGGGTTTCATACAATAAAGTGAACATACCTTTAACCATAGTAAGCTTGAATCCCAATTTGTCAGCAGCCAAGTTAAAAATATCTCGAACCGCAGATGCCCTGGACGAGGGAATAGGAACAACCTACAATAGACACAAGGAGTGGAGGTTAAGATAATGGTAAATAAGCAATAATAAAGAAGAAAAAGTAATGGATTAAAGAACTGTGACATGAGACAATTACACAATTGTGCATAATATTATTAATGTTAAAAAAAGAGATTGATCTATTAAGACGAGGCAGCTGCAGTTTGATCCAGGGGTACAATCAAATGCATACTTCTAAAAGGTGCACTTAAGGCTCTGCTTTTTGGATGTCTTTATTGTAAGCCCTGCATGACGAGTGTCAATCATGTTTGATCCCTGTTTGAATCTTTCTTCTCAGCCACAGTTTAGGTAAACCATACTGAAGTTTTAACAAGCTTCTACAAACTGAACATTTTTTTTTCCCCGATTAAATATTTTATTCTTACATATTTCTTTGATTTGATCTCTCACTCGTAATTTGAATATAAATCCTGTCAGGCAAATGCTTTGTGCTTATTCAGAGTTCCTAAGGCTAGAAATCACAAATAGAACATGTTGGAGCTGCTACATAAAACCTTTTTCCACAAGTACAAAACATGTAGAGTAAGGTATGTTTACAAACCAATTTTTAAGGACAGAATGGTGGTATAGACATATCCTCTTTTTTTTTTAATAATATGCAGCACAGGAATACAGGAATACATTCATAGCAATACATGAATGTAAATTTTTCCATACCTGAAGATTGGCATGACTTCCTCGCTTAAATACCCACTCAAAGAAAACTGCTTCCTTCCCTTGCTTTTTGAAGTAAGCTTTGAAGCTGCTTTGAAGTCGTTCCAGTTCCTTCTCACATTCCAGTGGCAGAGATAACGTATTGGGTGTATGTTCAATTGGCATAATTAGCACATGATCAGGTGTTAAAGGTCCTTTAGCAAGTGCACAGTAGTAATATTCTCCGACACTAGTGATGAGATGTGACTCAACGTTCGGGCTTGACAAACAAAACCAGCATTCTTTTGACCTGAAAAACAGTTAAAGTTACCACAAAGCTTATACAAAAGAAAGGGAGCACTAATGAAGATCACAAGCCAGTAAATATTGACACTGCAACGTCATCAAGAAAAATCAAGTAGTTCGATAAATATTAACCTGTTAGAGCTTGCTGCCCTAGATGCTGATCTGTCACCTTCTTCCTGCAAACTGTGCTTGAAGTTGCAATCAGGACCTTTTTCACATTTTCCCTTGTTGAGAAAGTCAAAACACACACCTCTTGAGTATTGTTCCGAAGCTTCTTCATCATGTCTAAATTGGCACTGGTTTCCTCTTGGACAAGAGCCAGAAGAGACAAATTTAAAGCAGAGTCTGTCACCACCACCATCTCCATGTTTCTGCTTTTTCTTGGATACATCATACCTCCAATACTGTGACTCAGAAGTACTATCACCGGGCCTCTTTGTCGCTCCATCGGGTGGGGATGCTTTGTCAACATTTGTATACGGACATAAAGTAGTGTTTGGTGGCTTTGCACTAAGCTCAGTTTTTGACATTGTTGATGCTGGAGTGGGGGATATCGCATGAATGAATTTCTGCAAAGAACTCATGCATAAAATGAGGATTCAAAATGATATAAGGGCTGAGGTAGACCTAAAATCACGTGGAGAGAAGTTGTCGTTTAAAAACCAAGAAATAGATGCAGACTTAGCTAAGAAGATATGTTCTGCATTTTTCAGCAGAGAAGTCTTTCATTTTAGTTATAAACTTGTATGCCATTTAAAAGAAGTGTGAAGTTCAGGAAATTTCTAGCTTTGCTCTAATTCACTTTATATCTTATAATGGCGTTTCAAGAATTGAAAACTAGATCAGAATTCATCAGAAAAATGAATAGATTTAAGAGTTTCTATGGCATTTTGAGTATATATAATCATTATTACCGTTCAACAATAACTACGTGGCATATTTATTTTGGTGGTGATGGTGTGGGCCCTGGGGGGGGGGGGGGATGTTGAGGACAAAGTGTGGGTTAAAGGGCGACAGCCACCGAAATTAGAGAAAGTAAATAATGTTTGATTAAACATTCTCGATTTGTGATAGAACTGCTTAAGATGGTACTTTTACAAATACTTGCAGGAAACTTAACTCAAATGTCGGCTGTAGTACCTGTTTATCTTTGTTTCCAACAGGAGCTAAGCCCAAAAAGCGAGTTGCGTGTAGAGCATCAATGTTAGCATATGGTTCACGATCAAAGTATACACCTACAGTTCCTGCAACATGATACCTACCAGTAAAACAAATTCAGTTGGGGAAAAATTCATATCTGTGGATTTATTGGACAACAATGTACAATTTCAGTTCTGGTTCGTTAAAATGAAAAATGAACTAGAAAGCAACAGAAAATTCCTGACTGCAATAGCATTTCTTTTAAAATAGCAGGATTACAAAATAGCCATTTGAACAGATACTTCCTTCACATGAACAGAACATTGTGGATTCTCTGAAAGGCAAGAATATATTTATTGAAATTTTACTTAGTTTTTCAGATTGACATCCAGTAAGCAGTGCTAAATGCAAATTCCCACTGCTTAATTTTATTTTAGGTGAAGCCTAAGTATATCAAGGACAAACATTTCCACTGCGAAATGGAACTCTTGTAAAAGATTACCAGTTCAACCACCAGATAAAGAAGATCAGTGACACATATCAGCTCAAATTAACTATGAAATGGCAGTCTGCAGTCCAATCGAGGTGTGATGAAGCTTGCACTATTAATGACTAAGAAGAATAAGCTGAATATAAAGACAGCGAGTGGAAGCATATAGATGTACAAACAATAAGTTTTGTAGTACAAAATTAAAATGAAAAATTCCACATAGTTGGCTCCAAATTTTGAGGAGTTCAAATTTTCTTCTCCAAAGGTTGAGAAGGAATGTTCAAAATGAAGCTCAAGAGCAAAGGACTTGTTTGCCCATGACACCAACTCAACAAGTGAACTGTATTTTGAAAAATATGATCACTCACCGAGGCTTAATCTCAGTTACCAACTCTGACACTGTGGGATCACTCCCAGATGAATCAGAAATTTCTACAAGAGCTTTTGATGTCGTTCCATTTGTTACTCCACTGGGCCACTCATTAGTGTTTTTTGATTAAGGAAATCAAAGAGATTGTATAGAGTACTTGCAATAGGGGGGTGAAGAAAATGACAAAGATCAATATAAAACCAAAGGATATGTCAGAAAGATGTCTACTGTTCCTGGATCCTCTGCTAAAGCCCTCAAAGCATCAACATCATCTTGACTATATGTTCCAAATTGAGTTCCACTTGGAGTTCGCCTACCAGATAAGTATGCCACAGATAACCCTAAACATGAGTACAGTATATCAGCTATCATATCCAACAAAAAATATTATTGTTGAGTCATGCACCTCTCCATATAAGAAAACAGTACTTCGATACGGAGACATAATATGAAACCCTAATCTCTTGCAGTCTCACTATTCCAATAACATGAGCTTAGACACTCCCTGTTTGGTGAGATTCTATTCTCACAAAGCAAATTAACCAATCAATAGGATGAACCTTCCAAAATCAGGGTAAACCCCAGGGTTATCGTGGACTGGATGCAGTTATTAAGATATAACATTGAATACGACAATAATAACCAATAACATCAATTGGACAACCAACTGCACCTCAATCCCCAATGAATTGAGAAAACAAACTAGCCAATTAAGCAAAAAAGGCACACAACTTCACGAAATTAAGATAAATTGTTTGATGTTTGGAATTTGGATGTTCTCACATTTTATTTTCTTTTGGATATGTAAAATTGCACGGTGCTTAGATACTCTCATGAAAAGTTCCAGTTTTCAAATCATAGACACCGGCATCTCACAATGTATAACTTGGAAATGGTGCAATTGTCCACTATCTTTAATTCAATACACAGAGGCGAATCCAGGATTTTAAGAAAACGGGTGCATCATTGCTTAAAGATAATATCAAAAAAATTATAATAACAATAACTAAGTGAGCAATACATAAAAATTACATTACCACAAAAAATATCATCAGTTTACAATTGTACTCGACGAGACTTCATATTTTGAAAACGATTTATAATAGCATCATTACTTACATTTTCAAATATCTTCCGCTCTATCTTACAAACTAAACATCCATTCAAAAATTCTTCACCAATGCTATTCAACTTAATTAGTCACAAATTTAACTAGCAAATTTAAAATAAAATAAGAGAATCGCATATCTTTCACAATAAAAAATAAGGGAATCACACCCTTGAAAGTTCAAATAAAATAGAGGAATCACAATCTTTACAAATCTAACTAAAATAGAGAAATCACACCCCTTTCACATTTAACAATAAGAAAATCACACATTCATAATAAAAAGAGGACTTATGCCTCTTTTGCAATCACATAGAAGAGGAATCACACCCTTTTCACATTTAAAAAAAATAAGGGAATCACACCCCTTTCACATATAAAAAAAAAAGGGAATCACACCCCTTTCACATTAAAAAAAAAGGAATCACACCCTTCAAAATTGATAATATAATATGAAACACATTCCCTACAAGTTACATTCGCAAAATATGTAAGTTTGAGATAATCAATTCTTTAGCTATTGATGATTTCCTATTATAAGTAATGACAAGATTTTTTTATATGAAAACCCTAAAATTTAAGTGATATATATATATATATTTATTTATCTTGTTAGTTTGTTTATTAAAAAGAGAAATCATAAACTAAAATTACCTTAAACTTTGACAATGATGATTTATCTAAATTCTTGACTTGAAGTTGGAGACTTGAAACTTCTTTTTTGTGTGGAAAATAGAAAACAAATTTGAAGAGAGGGAAAATGTGGAAAATAGAAAACAAATTTGAAGAGAGGAAAAATATTGTTGGAACTTGGAAAGTGTGTGGGAAGGAAACTTTTGAAGTCTTTTGACTTTTAAACTTTCAGAATTTAGCTTTTTCTTTCTTTTTTTTTAATGAAAAATGTGTTTTTAGTTAATAAAAATAAATTGAAGCGAATTGAAGCTGCCTGGGATCGAACCTGCGACCTGTCAGTTGAAATCTTGCAGTGGTACCAGTGAACCATCCAGCTATTTTGAGAATGGGTTCAACAAGTTTTAATTTAATATATTCTTTAATAATTATAGAAGTAATATATCGAGTTTAGTCGGATGACCACGGGTTCGGGTGACCCAAAATTAGTACATAAATTCGCCCCTGTCAATACAACATTGGGTTAATAATTTAGCAACATATAGTCCATTTGGCTTCTGTAAGCAATGACATAGGCTTTTGTTCAATACCACAGAGTGGTAGGAGACAATACAACCCTTTTTTTACCAACTACTATAGAGAATTTTAGCCGATAGTTTTAAAGACTTAACAGCTTTCAATATATCTGAGCCAAGATTTCATTCTTGCTACATGTGTGAACTGCTAGACCAAACAGTACAAGTTAGAACAAGGAAATGATAAACTGCATTAAACAAAGTCATTTGGAAAAAGTTGCACCCATCTGCTTTGCCCAACAACTTTAAATATTATCCAAATGCTCCCCTCTCTATCCCTATCCACCAAGGCAGATTAAAAATTGTGGGTGTGTGTACAAGCCACCATTCTTTGGTAGCAACAAATACGAACTTTGTGTAACATACATCTTTTAAGCATGTATGGATGAGGCTTAACTATAATGAAGCCGGAAAAGACCATATGGAGACCAGGGTTTATATCCCAGAAAAACAAGAGCAAGTTGATTTCATTCCACCTGTCTAAGCCTTGGGTAAAGCTATGTGAAATTGCATTAGTGGCAGGAGCAGGCACCAGGTGAAATAGTAGAGGTGTGCATAAACTGGCTTGTCCAGCCAATAGACATTTCCAACTATACACACACCTCCCCTAGTAGAGTAGATGCAGACAACACCCCAGGGTGTGGCCTATTGGTTAACAAAGTAGGCTGAACCATGAGGTCTCAGGTTAAAATTCTAGCTGAGGGAAAAATGGGAAGTGTTTTTTCCGCGAGAGAGCTCAAGCTTGCCAGGACACCACAATTATGAAGAAAAAAAAGTGGATGCAGACACATAAACTTCTAAGCAGCCCGTTCAGTCCTTACACTAAGTCTTTCACTTTCATTAAGCAAATTGGAATAAAAAGATAAACGAGGTGATGGTTAATGTCTTACCATGAAGGCTAAACTTCCCACTTCCTTTCAACCAGTACAAATTGTCACAGACTCTTAAACCCTCCATCTTAAACCCTTTGTTACTCGGGTCCTTCAATGCTTCTGGCAATATTTTTGGGGACCCTGCACCATAATCACCAATGAAATAGGTCGGTATCGGAATCTTGGAACGCCCCTCAATGTAGCCATTGAATTCCTCAATCCCCTCAACCGAATCAGGAAAAAATTGGCCTACGCAAAGAAGAGCATCAAATGGACCAGCTGCCTTGTTCACCTGAAAGAGTTCAAGTTCAGCTCTAAACTACAACAACATAACCAATGTAGTCCCACAAGGTGGAGTCTGGGGAGGGTAGAATGTATGTAGACCTTACCCCTACCTCAGAAGTAGAGAGGTTGGTCCTGATAGACCCTCGACTCAAGAAATGAACAGTCCCAAGCCGTCCAAAAAGAAGTAATGTAAGTGAAAGCATTCTAAGCAGTTACTACAACAAAATAATACGATCATCAATATACAAAAAAAAAAAAAAACAGAAGCATCAGGAATCGAAGGGCTAGAAACTACGACTACTGGGATGGACAGATAGCGAGACAAAACACTACTATATACTAACCTTTTCGCCTAATTTGTTCCTCCATGACCTTCTATCTATCAAAGGGCAAGAAACTATGACTACTAAGATGGACGGCTAGCTTGACAACACACTACTATATACTAACCTTCTAGCCTCGTTTGTATTCTCCACAACCTCCTATCTATCCAAGGGCAAGAAACTACGACTTCTAAGATGGACAGATAGCTTGACAACACACTACTATCTACTAACCTTCTAGCCTAATTTGTGTCTTCCTCACCTCTTATCTATAGAAGAGCAAGAAACTACAACTAATAGGATGGATGGATTGCGAGACAACACACTACTATCTGCTACACATCATATTCGAATGAGAAATCAAAATATCTTGCCATGGAGTCCGTGGAATGGAGAGAGACCAAGAACCTTTTATTTCATCTGTAAAGACCCATGTGTACTTACAATATGCTAAGTTCCATATATATACACAATGTACAAACTATAATAAACTGACACTAAGTATACTAGAATTGATATTTTCCAATAGCTTCTAAGTATCAACACTATCTACTAACCTTCTAGCTCTAATCTGAAATCGCACAACCTCAACTCTCAACTGAGTAATCGCAGCATATCTCAGCTCTAAACTAAGTAATCGGGTACTTACACACAATACCAAATCCAGAATTTAAAGTCAGCAAACTATCTAGAGCATAATTTAAATTTAATAGTTACTCTTAAAGGTGCTTAGCATTACTCCCATAGTATTTTCAAAGTTATGTGTTCTATTTGTAGCATTTTCGTGGATTTAAAACATAAATTACTTCTCCGTATCAAAAGTATTGGATTCAAATGAACTCGGGACCAATACTGTGCATCCGCCTCTGTAAAACTATCTATTTTATGAATACATACATATTATATATGAAAGTAGAGAAGACGACGAACCGAAGAAACGCGTTTGAATAGCTGATTGAGACGGCCGAGTACATCACCACAGAGGAGAATTTTGAGAGGAGCCATAAGCTGAGAGCTTGTGAGAGAGCTTACAGTGAGAAAGAAGAAGAAAAGAAAAGAGTGAATCGGGTATTGGGCCAAATCCTACAATGGGTTTTCAGGCCCAATATGTAACAATTTAGTGTTATAACCAATTTTTGCCTTGATATTTGAGGTGTACTTTTGGCCAGAGTGTATAAAAATAGGTTAAATAATGTGTATTGCTAATAGTGATATTAATTATTTTGAAATTATTTATCATGAACTTTTTGATTGGGGTGTACTAAAAATAACATTCATAAAAATACCATCCACAAATATAGTGTGAATGATTTAGAAATTTTTTTCAGGACAATTATATTTTTAATCATTCATTAAAAATTATTACATTGTAAATATCATGATTTGACATATATTAGTTATATAAAACATAATACCTCCTTTTGTTTAACAGTTGACCTATTTTTCTTTTTAGTCTGTTCAAGAAAGAATGATCATTTTTCTTTTGATATACTTTAATTTCAGTTTTTCCCGATGACATATTTAAGATTCTAGAATTAAAGAATATTTTGATATATTTGACTAATTTTAATTTAGGATCACAAAATTTAATTTTTTTTCTTTATTTTCTTAAACTTCAGTGACAAGTTAAACTAGATTATTATTTTTTAAACAGAGAAAATATCAAATAAAGTGAATATTAGTTATACTTATACATCTATTGAAAAAGATATACTTCCAAATAAGATATTTATAGTATACAATTCCAAGATAAATTTATAATGTCAATCAAACTCGATATAAGTTTTATCTCAAACTTAATCTCAAAATATACAATTATAATCTCGAGATAATTTAGTTCGGCACCTAATGACACATTTTAAGGCTAAAACCTAAAAGTTGGCCATCGAACCCTCGCTAGCGCAGTATCCATATTTTTGTTCATAAGAAGATATCTTTTTTTTTAGGAATTAAGCTATGGATGGTTGCTTGAGGATTCACAATACAGTTTCTACTACAATTACAAGCCCAGTTTTTTCGAAAAAGTCTGCAAATTTCAGAGTTTTCACTGTTAAATGCTCTTCAGATGGTGCACTTTCTGGTTAGTTTTTTTTTCTTTTGGTGTATCATATGATTATATCTGAATTCATTTGTGTTTTGTTGTTGTTATTCAACTGTTTAAGTGTGTAAATTATAGGCGGAATTATGATTTGAAGCTTATGAGTTCGCATTTAGTTTATTTAGTGGTAGATTAGCCATGTTTCATTGGTGAAGATTGAAAAAAAGGTAGCTTTTGTTTAGTGAAAAATAATATCTAGAGTTGTTTTTGGCTTTTTTGTGAGTACTTTGGAGTGGAAAAAGGTGAAAAACACCTTCTTTTTTAATGTTGTTTTTCAAAATTTTGAAAATTTCAGAATTTTATGGCTAAACGTGTTTAATTGGAGTACAACTCTGGAATGAAGTGAAAAAATTTCATGGTGAAATGCTCCTAAGTTACAAGCCCATGTTCCAAAGCTTGGCAACTAGGCATTGGAAGTTGTTGGCCTTAACTCAGCTTATATTGTAGAGAAAGCTGGGCTACTTTACTTATCAGTTTCATGGGGCTTTAATTTGTTTGTATTCCATTAAACCACTACTTTAGTCACACAAAGAGGATGAAATAAGATTTTGTTGTAATTTTCTGGGTTTCGACATTTGCTTCTTTTTTGTTTCTCCATAAGCTGAGACATATTTAGTCCCATCTCAATTTTGGTATGATACAAATTTGTGTTATCTTTCCATTTTTCAGTTCAGTACTTTTAAGTTTTCTTTATAAGTTCAAGGACCTTTTATTCTTATTTGAAATTAACAGCGTATATTAGAACTTTGAATGATTTAAATATTGCTGCAGGAGCTGCAGGTGTGGCTGAAAGACCTTGGAAGGTAGCAGATGCTAGACTTGTCCTCGAGGATGGTTCCATTTGGAAGGCAAAATCATTTGGTGCTCGTGGAACCCAAGTTGGAGAAGTGGTTTTTAATACCTCTTTAACTGGGTAACACAATTTTTTTTGCTTGCTTATTTTATGACTACATATCTTCTTAAAAGGATACGTTATGTACGAAATTATCTTTAGCTTTCGATCTTACCCAATTTAGGTGGTAGTCAGAGCATTCATAATGAACTAGTACAGAACTATTATCGGCTTGTTTCATCATCATTTTCCCCAAACATTTATTTAATTTTGAAATTTGGTCGTATAAACTTCCATTTATGCTGATCTATGCTCAATGATTTCAGTAAAGGTATCGTTATCTCAAGTTTGCGTAAAACTATTAAATAACATTTGGCTTTCGTTCAAGCAATTCCCCAGCACTCCCTCTTCCCCAGAAAAAAAGTCCAAGCATGTAGTGATTTCTACTTAAGTGGGTGTTTTATCAGGTGGAAGTAGGATTTAAGTATTCTTTGTTCTTTGCATTCTTTAAATGATTTCATTACCTCCTTCTTTTATCTATGACTCGTGAAGATTCCTGAAGAAATACTATGAGATGTTCTCAGGAAGTAAACTAATTCCTTTTCTTGATAACCTCTTCCCTAGAAAATGAATACATGAAAGCTCATTTCCAATATGAAGAAAATCCCCTTCTGTTATTATTTTTTTTGGTAATAAAAATGATGTTCAAATTAAGTCGTGCATATCTTGATTATTCTCCACCATTACTTCATAGAGTTATTCAGAGAATGCAGAAAAGAACAATTATTCTGTTCTCTACTTTCAACTCTTTCTACTTGACACTTTTTTCTTCTGAGTGTCTATTTACAAGCTGCTATTTATATTTCCTGATATTACAGGTATCAGGAGATAATTACAGATCCCAGTTATGCGGGCCAGTTTGTCTTGATGACTAACCCTCATATCGGGAATACTGGGGTCAATTTTGGTGCGTTTAGCGTGTGTTTCATGACAGATTGTTATTTTTGTATGAATAATCTTTTGTGACTGTTTTGGAATTTCTCTGCTCAGGCGATGAAGAATCGATGCAGTGCTTTCTTGCAGGATTAGTCATTAGAAGCTTAAGTATCAGGTTTGGTCGCTATGCCCTGCTTTCCAAATGAGGCTTTAAACGGTATTATGATCATAGTTTAAATTGTTGTATATTTCTCTCAGCACCTCAAATTGGAGATGCAAAGAGACACTTGGTGACTATTTGGCTGAAAGGAACATCATGGGTATATGTAAGTCCTATGTGTGTCCTATACAAGACCACTTGTCATTTCCATGTCAAATTATGGAATTTAAATTCTCTGATATTAGCCACTCTACCATGCAATAGATGATGTTGACACTCGAGCAATTACACGAAGATTGAGAGAAGACGGTAGCCTCATTGGAGTATTGAGCACAGAAAATTCAAAAAGTGACGAAGAACTTCTTGAAATGTCCCGTACATGGGACATTGTGGGTAAGTTTTACCAGCCCTGTATCTTCCTTATTTTGGGAAACAATTTTTCTTTTAAAATTGTAAAGATATGACACTTGGGCCTAACTCAACCCCAAAAGCTAGCTCATGAGGGGAAGTTTGTCCAAGACCATATTAGGAGACCAAATTCCCATCCCTCTACCGATGTGGGACATCTTAACACTCCTCCGCACACCCAGACCTCAATTGGAGCGTGAACACTTCTAAATGGGAGCCCATCATCGGTGAACAACAAATTGGGATGGGTTTGTCAAAGGCACGCTTAATCCCTGAAGCGAGGTGCAAAACATATTGAGCGCTTCGCCTTGCTTTATGTGTGCTTCAGTGCCTTCATCCAGGCTCTAAGGCATACTTTTCCTTGTCAATGAGCGTAATCCTGAAGATGTACACTACACAATTGATATTTCACTTTTATCGTATCTTTTTTTCAATTACTTTGTCTATATATTTGCTATTCATGCTTATGATTGGTAATCTTGGCTACACATACATATTTCTATTTTTTTTCTCCATTTGCGCCTCTTTTTAATAAAGCCCACACTTTATTTGTGCTTAAAGCCCCAAAGGACCTTAAGAGTTTTTTGCGCTTTTTGCTTTTGATAACACTGGTATTACGTTGTGTAGGTGTGGATCTAATCAGTGGTGTTTCATGCAAATCTCCTTACGAATGGATTGATAGAACTGCCTCAGATTGGGAGTTTAATGATAATGGAAGAAATAAAGAAACTTACAATGTCAGTATTGTTAGAGTTTATTAGATTCTGGAAAAGAACATTGTTTCTTGTGAGCAAACTAATTCTTTTTTCCCCGACATTGGATGAAGGTCGTTGCATATGATTTTGGAATCAAGCATAATATACTTCGGCGCTTAGCATCCTACGGCTGTAAAATCACTGTTGTTCCTTCAACATGGCCAGCATCTGAAACTCTGAAGATGAAACCTGATGGAGTTCTTTTCAGCAATGGGCCAGGAGATCCCTCTGCAGTTCCCTATGCAGTCGAAGCAGTAAAAGAAATTATTGGAAAAATTCCTATTTTTGGCATTTGTATGGGTCACCAGTTGCTTGGTCAAGCATTGGGGGGTAAAACATTCAAAATGAAATTCGGCCATCATGGAGGAAACCATCCAGTTCGAAACCTTCGAAATGGCTGTGTTGAGATCAGTGCCCAGGTATGTGCCATAGAAAACTCTAGCTTGATTGCTTCTGGTCGATTTCCAAACTTTCTGTACAATTACACCTTAGTTCATCAACGTGTACATCCCTTTGAGTACTACATTCATTGCATAATGATGGTGGTCTACGTTTTTAGTTTAAATTAGAGCTGTTTGTACTTCAGATTTGTAGCGTGGATGACCTTAGATAGGAGGTTATGGAGGAACGGATTAGGGTAGAAGGTTAGTAGGTAGGAGTGCATTGTCTTGCCGTCCATCTATACTGGTAATTGTAGTATCACTCTTGTAGTTTCTTGTCCTTCAATTTTTGTTGATATTTGTTGTTTCTTGTACTTCCATTACTTCCTTTCTCAGACTGCCTTAGACTGTTTTTTCTTGATCCGAGGGTCTATCAGAGACAACCTTTCTACCTTTGAGGTAGGGGTAAGGTCTGCATACACTCTACCCTCCTCAGACCCTATTTTGTGGGACTACATTGGGCACCTGTTATTGTATTTTTACAGTCTTGATGACTTTCCATTTGCAGAATCACAACTATGCTGTTGACCCCAAGTCTCTTCCAGAGGGTGTAGAGGTGACTCATGTAAATTTAAATGATGGAAGTTGTGCTGGTCTTGCCTCATCTAAAATGAAGCTGATGTCACTTCAATACCATCCCGAGGCATCTCCAGGACCTCATGATTCAGATATTGGTAAACATATCCTAACTCGTTCCTCCTCGTATGCAACAAACCTCGGACACTTGTTTCAGTGGTTGTCTGTCTTTAGCTGTAAACTTTCAATGAATATTGCTGTCTATTATGAGGATTTGACGAAGACGATAAGTACAATCTTGAGAATATTGATGTCACATGACCAGTCTAGGATTCTGCTGTCTTGTCAATCTTCATCAAACAAATTCTGCTGTCTTATGTCAATTAAAGTATTTCTAGCTGGTCTTGTGTTTCATGATAGTTCTCGATTATTTCAGTTTCTATCGGTATTTTTGAGACAAATAGAAAGATAAAGGGTCGAGTGAATCAAAATTTGCTTGAACATGAATGCAGCTACTTGAATCAAAACTGATTATATCCTTTCTTTATCTGGGCAGTGTTTGGAGAGTTTATACAACTTATGAACCAAGAAAAAGTGAAGGCATAAGCCACAATTGTGCAGAGGCTGAAGCAATAACTGGTAAGATCTATTTCGAAGGAACCACATTTTGATAATCACAATTTCATCGCGGACTTGCCATCAACAAGTCATTGCAATTCGTCATTCTGCACCTCTTTCTTGCCATAAATTAAGTCAGAGCAATCTATCGTGCTGCGCCTCTTCTCTGCAATTATATATATGTATGGTACTCTCTGTTCTGGTACTTGTAACAATACACTTGTTTGTTAGGTGTAACTGGTACTTTGGAACAAGTTAATGAATACTTATGTGTTCTCCATGCTATTCTGTATAAGGGTTTGTTGGAGCTTCTGTGCATAACGAATTGAAGTCGAAAATGGATCAAGGTAGCTTGCCTTCCAAGTCGATAGGTGAAGGGCTGAAGGATTAATAATATTTATAAGTTAATTTGACAATCATACCTTGAATCTAGGTTATTCTTTTTGGACGTAAACACCAATCACATATTCAGTGTAGTTCCTCAAGTGGGATTTCAGTAAGGCAGGGTGTACTTAGACTTTATTCCTATTTTTGTTGGGCAGGAAGATTGTTTTCGATAAATCTTAGGTTCAAGATGTGTAATCAAAGAAGGATTAGAAGCAAAATAGCGATAATAAAATAGCAAGATAAACAAAGTAAATGAAGCAACATGTTTTAATAAAAACTGAAAAATAAGATGTGTCATGAATACCAAAAAATGTTTGCTTATCCTACTTAAAAGTATGATAACACTCGGTTATTTACTACTTAATCTTCAAATAACATACTTTCGTATTCAGAATCATGTCTTCAATAAGCTGGAGATATGTCATGTCTTGTTTAATCACATCCTCTATCTCTTATAAAACTTGTTATAGTCAACCTTCCACATCTTCTCTTCACATATCCAAACAATCTCAATTTCGCTTCCTTCATCTTGTCAACTACGAGGCCACTTCTGTAAAGCTTTGTTCCTAATTTTCATTTTTTCTACATAAAGTCCCCATTGAACTTAGACCTTATTTTGAAGTAGACACTTAAAGTTTGCGGAAGTTCTATTATCCCACTAAACTACTTTCTATCAAACTAAATATGTCATTTTGACCCGCCTCTGCACCTGTTGATATATTTAGTTTAATGGGGACTTTATATATTTTCTCTTTCTAATATGTCCACACATTCATCTGAATATTCTCATCTCCGCTATCTTCATCTTCTAAAGGTGTGCATTCATTTTTTTTGACATAAAAATATATATTTTAGGTTAAAAGGAGGAATCTGTGAATGTAAAAAGTGAAGACAGGATAAAGACAAGCAGCCACAAAGGTTAAAAGGGCAAAGATTTGGCTACTTGTTAAACTCTTTATTTAGATTTTAGCAGCCTTTTTGCCTTTCATACATTTCAACTTTTTGCCCTCCATATTCCAGGCATAATCATTAATCTAGACTCACATTTGTTTAATCCATTCTTTTAACTTTTATAATCATCTAGTATTTGAAATTCATCCGTTTATTCATTCCACTGCATAGTAATAATATGAAAAAGGATGGTCCAAACTCCAATGTATTAAACATTTCACGTTCACGTAAAATTTGGAAAAAGATCGCACCCTTAAAGAATGTATCAATATGATGTTGATAGCTTATTCTGATGTTGGTTGATTGCACAACTCAAATTCGTGACCCATAAATCACAGTGAAATTAAAACTTAAGCCACATGAGCTTCTCCAAACAAAACTAAAAAGAAAAAGGAAAAAATAAAAAATAAATGAACAAACATAAAGTGCCCAAAAGAAAAAGATAATAAAAGCATTTGATTCATCATAGTTGCCTCGTGTGAAAGATCTAGTTGTCATAATTCTAAATTTTATTTGCAGAAAAGTGAACATTAATCATCCTATACACGTTCTTCGTTGAAATATTATATGATGTACAGAAATTAAATAATATTCACTATTATAATTGTATATTTAATTTTGCACACCTTTAATATAACTGAATAAAATTTCCACACTTTCACTAAATTTGGGAGGGGGTGTTGGACATGTACTTGAGAGAAAATATTTCATTTGAAACATTTAATTAGTGCAACCAAAAAGGTGAAACAATATAATGATCTTATATCAATCAAAGTAAAAAATATTGATATGGAGAAAGTTAATGCTAATTAAGTCATTGCTTGAACAAGTGAATTATAATATAAATAATATCTATACCGTTTGTTTTACTTGTTCATTATAATAAAAATAAATGTTCAGTACTTTTACTTGACGAATATAAAAAGTTAAAAGAGATAATTTACCATTGTATATCTATTTTATTCTTAGTATTAAGTATCATTCATTTCCTAACATTTGAATAATTTATAATAATTAGGAGGTGATATATCAACATTATTATTTTACCTATTTTATCATATTTATCAAAAAAAAAAAACTTGACATATTATAACTAAGTGGTAGCTAAAAAGCTTTACATCATCTAATTTATCTTTCAAAACACCAAAAATAAAATAAAATAAAAATACATCAACTCAAACAATTAAAAACTTGACTATTTCTAGACAACCCCCCTCCCCCCTACCCCTATGCTTGTTTTTAACAACTCTGATGTCCGAGCCGGCTATTACATATATATCGACTGATTTCACGAGATATCTGCCGCCTCTCCCCTCCCCTATGCTTATATACTACCATTTATTGGTGAAAAGCTAATTAAAAATTCTTTGTCCTGGTGATAGAATCATCTTTGGATCAAATAGATCTTTTCTTTGTTGAAAAATATTCCATTTTTTACCAAAATGTTTGATCCAATCCTCTTTTGTCTTGTAATGTGGAAGATATTGCTTTATATTGAGGCCAACTTTATCACAATAATTTAATATTTCTTCATTTTGATTATCCAAAATCTTGCATTCTTTATATCCACTTGAAGAATGTAAAAGTCCCACACAATAAAATGTCTCCTCTTCTGGTATCATTGTTGACATCCTATCATCCCATCTGCATTTTCAAAAATAAATAAATTAAAACAGAGAAATATTATATATATTAACTAATCTTCTTAATATAAATATAGAGCTATAGAACAAAGTTACTGAATTTAATTAATAAACTCGTAACTTTTATTACGCTTCCCCCAATAAATATATTAAACTCTACCACTCCCTCATATTCAATATATATGTAACACACTTTTTTCTTAGTCAGCTCAAAAAGAATGACCGACACATCTATATATTTAGTAACAATTTAACTTTAAAACGTCCATTTTACCTTTAAACAGATAATTTATAACCACACAAACATCTATGATTAATGTCTTACAATTTTTCTTAAACTCTATATCAAAATTCAAATCAAACAACATCACATAAATTGAGACAAAATGAGTGCTACTCCATCTATCCACTTTTAATTGTCATGTTGCGCTTTTCGAAAGTCAATTTGACTAATGTTCAAAGCTAAATTAGATTATAGATATTCAAAAACTATACGAAAAGTATTATAAATTCCATTTCTTCGCATATCAATATGTTGAAAAAATATATCTAAATGTTAGTCAAAGTTATTATCGTTTGACTCTAAAAAAGAAAACTATACCAATTAAAAGTGGACGAAGGTAATAGTATATTATAACTATATTATTACTTATGTCTATATTAAAAGGGTGTGTGTGGGTGGTGGGGTGGGGGGGGGGGTGAAAAGACAGTTTTAAAGAGTACCTTTTCCTACTTGTTGGGTAGACAAGTATGGGTCCAGTTGTCTTGTTTTGTCTGAGGATTATGTCCACAAAAACAGCAGCATGAAAATGCATGATAGAAGACTTTGGTACAAACAAATTGAGCCATGGATGTGGAACATCCCACTTTCCTTTTGATTGTAACTCTAATTCCCCACTTCTAACTCTATTCAAAAATTCCACAAAACTCACATCTTTCTTGAACATAAATCCACCTAAATACTTCAATCCTTTTACCAACTTCTTCAACTCCTGTACATCGTCAAAAAATTACAATGTATATGTAAAGTCAGCCTCATATATATAGTAGATATTGAACCTTCTTAGTAAAATAACATGTTAAAATACATTGATAGTGTCAAAATCAATGCACACGACTTATAAGTTATATGATGCACTTTGACTGGATATATGTGTGGTTGTATATCATCTAGAAAAGTGAATCACGTAAATTAAAACAGAAGTATGCATGATACATACATACCTCATCAATTGTATTAGCATTTTGGTCATCATAGTACTTCACTATTTCCAAGCAATACATAATTTTATTTTTGGATAATAATGAAGCAATTTCGGTTTGATTGGAAGGTGAAAAAAATGAAGATCTCCAATTATTTAGAGAGCTTTGTTCCATCATTAGAGAGCCTTCAACATAATCCAATCCATTATGATGAATTGAAATAAGATGTTCTTGATCTTTTGTGAATTTTGAGAAATCATCATACAACATTCTCACCCATTTCACCTACAAGAGAAAAAAATCATAATTATATAATTGCATATGTAAGAAATAGAAGTAAAAAATCATTAAACTAATACTTATCTGTTCTATTTTATGTAACACGCTTTATTTTTTAATATATTTAAAAAAATGACATATTTTAATAATTAGAAACAATTTGACTCAAATAAGTGTATTTTATTTAGAGGCTCGATCAGTACCAACTAGGTTCCTCGAATGGATCTCTTAGTTGTTCGAAAGCAATATATTTATAAGACGTATCCAGAAAAACATACAAGTAAACACCATATAAAGATGGTGACTAGGATTCACCGACTCTAAAAGTCTTTTTCCTCTTCATAAATTTCGTGCTCAATCAAATACCGTCATACTTACTCTTGTTGGTGCTTTATCCAAGACAATTCTTGCTCTTGTTATTATTCCAAACTGTCCTAAACCTCCTAAAACTCCAAAAAACAATTCTGAATTCATATCTTTGGAGCAAGTCACTAATTCCCCTTTACCTGCAACCAAACATGAGTCAACACAACAAAAATACTAATAATAAAATAAAAAAATCATAAATTAATTGTATTATCATATATTAGCATGCATCACCTAAAAATATATTATTATTATTATTCCCCAAATTAATTATGTGATTTAAGGAAATTAATATATAAAGTATGGTTTTGGTCATGCATGCACTAGTAAATTACCATGTATATATAAAGCTGCCACTTGCAATTAATTAAGTATAGATAAATTTTTCTATTATAAAAAAAAAGTTAGATTTTTGTGATATATTTATTTTAGTATAACGTGAAAAATCTTATCTACAAGATCTTCCAGGTGGAAAAAGAGACATTACAACCTATGAAATAGATACTAGACACATACTTTTACATATTAAAAGAAAAAAAAATTATGAACTTTTTTCTAAAAGAATCTTATATTAGTTAGGCCCCAAACATGATATATTTCTTACCTTAACTAATATATTGATAGTGACTATCTCCCCCCTTTTTTTTTTGGTACTTACACACTTTCCATGAAAATACCCAATAAAATAATAATAATAATACTAGAAAGACCTTTTATCTTTATGTGACCCATATGAATATATGAAATATCAATATAGTTTTCTATTATATTGGAAGAGTGAGTAAGAATCGAGACTTTTACTGATACCCTTAAGGTGTTTAGTATAGAGGAAAATAAAGTATAATGAGATTTTACCTGTGATAACATCCATCTCATGAACGTTACTTATTTGAGGACCATATCGGAAAGTTTGACCACTAATTCCAGCATTAGAGAGAGTACCACCAACGGTTAGGTACAAATAATCTGTCCACGAAACAGGTGCTAGGCCATACTCTAGGGTGCTACGAAGAACATCAATCCATAATTGTTCACCTCCAACATCCGCGTAAAACCCTAAACCCGAATCCCAAGAAACCCTAACACCACAATTCTCATTATTATTAATATTATTATTTAAAGAACTCATTTCCACAATTACCCCATTTTTTGCCATGGCTTGTCCCCTAATGGAATGTCCATGACCTTTGGCTGCTACATGAAAAGGGACAGAAAGGTCATGAGAAAATTGAATGAGGTCAATTATGTCATTAACACAAGAAGGATAAAGAACAGCAGCTGGTAATATTTCTTGAATAATTTTTCCAAAATCTTTGGAAGATTCTTTAATAGCATGAGCATTTGTGCTAAGTTTTGATGAAATATTAAGTGAAAGAATTTCATAAGGAATTGAAGGATTCCATGGATTTAACTTTCCTAAAATGGACATTAAATGACTAATAATAAAGAAAATAATAAGATTATAACCATAGGATAAAAAAAACTTAGCCATAATAGAAGGAAGAAAAAAAAGGAAATTATTAGAAGTAGGTGATTTTTGGTGAAGAGAAAAGAGAGTGATATGAGGACATATATAGAGGGGAAATAATATAATAATAATAATAATATTTGCATGCAAAAAAGTACAAACAAAAAAAATATATATATATTTTTTTTGATATAGTGGTAGTACAAGATTTAGAAGATCTTGGAAAAATAATATTACACATGGGGTGGGGTGGGGTGGCGTGGGGTGGAGTGGGGGGAAGGGGTTAGAAAATTGTGAGCAAGATATATTAAAGGACAAAAGATTTTTGTGATTATTGCTCCTTTGCCTTTATGTTCCAAAAAACGTCACAACTTTCTCATGGGATGGATAAACACCTCTTTCATGTTGTTCATAGTATTGTCATTATATGATTAATCAAAGATTTTTTAATTATTCGATACGCAAGATCTTTGATTGATGTATGTGTCAGAATAAGGTTGATAAATGGTACGTAGTTATTTGGAGCTTTCTCGCTTAAAGGAAATAGGAAATGTGTTTCATCTTTCACTATTTCATCGATCATTTGTTGTCTTCCTTAACAAGTTCTTGAGCCTCCTTTGTGTCACCTTGTCATAGAAGTCGTTGGGATAAGGCTTGCAGGTGCGATCATGAATAGAACTAGATCGAAATATAAGAGAATCTGATAACTATTATGAATATAGAGGAATGGGGCATTTTTCTCGTTACCATTCCAAAATTTAATGTTTATACCAAATCATTTAAATTTATTATAGCAAAGTGATTAAGATAATGAGGGGAATTAATGCACGTGATGCTAATTAATTAAGCTTTGTTAATTGTTAAAACTTATGTAAATACATGTCAATGAATATAAATTTATTATTATTATTTTGTTTGGATCTATTTAAGTTAATCGTGTTTCAACATTATACTTGTGTGGAAATAATACCAAACATCTAGCATCTAGCATTTATTATCAGTATTGTACTCTTGAGTTTACTTAGTTTTTGTTTCACATATAGGAACGATATAGTCATAATTAATAGGGGTGTGTTCGATACGGAAGAAAATATTTTCGAAAAATAATTTCTCAAGTTTTACGAGTGACATTTAATATTTGATTATATCCTTCCAACCTATATTGCCTCATACCCACCACCCCTATATCCCCAACTGCATATCTATAGTATTTGTTTAAATTATATACGAAAATACGGAATTATCAACAATTTTTTACATGTCTAGACAAAAGGTATTAAAAAGGAAGAAAGAAAAGGAGTGTTTAGGATAATATTTTCTGTTTACTTACTCATTATTAGAAACATAAGTTTTTTCTAACAGGAATCAATGAAAAAATTATGTTATAAAATATGATTTTTTTTTCTCTATTTCCACTAAATAAGTTCACCGAAAAAATACATGATAGAAAACAGATTTCCACTAATATATTGTATATAGCCATTGCACATATTTTTTTCTCTGATTCAATTAAAATATCCGTGACAATGACAACTAAACATTTTTCATTGAAAAAATTAAACTAAAAATTACTAGTGGCCAATTTTATTTTTTTAAATCTAGTTATTTTCTTGATTTTTTTTTCATGAAAAACATTGTTTCCTTCCTACCATACACACCCTAGGCCTAGGTATGCACATATGAACAGTAATTTCCAAAACTATACACTCAATATCTTATGAAATCTTCAAGTATCTTTGATTTAATTGGATAAGAAAATAATAAGATTTGGAAATAAAAAGAATCTTCAAATAAAAAGTTGACACACTAGAGAAGGGAAATGTATTGGAAAGTTGAAAGAAACATCAATATGATTTTCCTTCTTCATATTAAGATCTTTTTTTTCTTCAATGTAAGATCTTATTTGTAGGTATTTGATGTAACATATGAATATGAAAAGTCAATTCCATGCAACTATAATTACCACCAATATTCTTGTCAATTTCAATGTAGATTTCATCACTTTCAATTGATCCTATCTTTTACTTCCTTTTTTTTAAAAATAAAATAAAATAAAATTTACCACTACACAATAGCCCTAGCGGTCTTTTATTAATAGTAAAAAAACCTAAATTTCACAGTAAGAATAAGTAAAATTAAGGAAAAATTACTTAAATACACAACTTATTTTATCATATTCTTTAAAAATTTCTACAATTTAAAAAAAATACAAAAAAAATCATTTTCCTTTATTAGAAACATCATTCTTACACGATGTATCGCGATGCGATATATCGGGACATGTGTGTCTAGTATCAATAAAGGTAATATAGCGAGACGTGATGTATCGGGACGTTGAGCGATTTATCAAGACATGTGTGTCTTGTATCAACAAAAGTAATGTATCGAGACACGATGTATCGGGACGTTGAGTGATGTATCCGAAATTCTTAAATTTTAAGGGATTTTTGTAATTTAAAAAAGAGTTGGGATATGATGTAATTAGCTCTTAATACTACGAGAATTGTGTAATTTTTATAACAATTAAAGGGGTGCTAGGCGTTATCCGATCAATCCTAGTGAGATAATGAATCTTTGCTAATTAATAACCATGGAGAAAATAAGAGTTAGAGAGCACTAGATGGTCTATATCATACACTTTTCTTCTTACAATTTTCCTTCTGAATATTTTAATTTCATGTGCATGCATGTTCTAGATTTATTTTCACAGTACTATTGTATAACATGATCTAAAGATTCTTTTTTGGGAAAATGAAAAAAAATTATAAGAAAATGTTAAATCACAATCATGTTCAAGCTGAAACCATAAATCATTTTTTTCCTACTTATTTTCCACCAAATCAAGTCACTATAAAAATGCATGGTGAAAAATAGATTCTCACTACAATAGTGGGAAAATATCTATGGGATCAGAATAGCTCTAAACATTTTAGTGGGAAAATAATAATTTTTAAATGGTGATTCAATTTCCATTCGTAGTAGATTCAGAGGTGAAATCAGTATTACGGAACTTAGTTTATCTGAACCAAATATTTTCGACATATAATATGGACAGGAACTTGCTAATTGGAACAAATAGTTGATATGAATTAGCACTATACCATTTTATAAACTTTAAAAATTGAATAGATAGAACTTAAATTCTAAATCAACATAGATCGAAACTAATAATTCATTATATGTTATAATGAGCTTGTAGTTCTCCTTGCTTTAAATTAGTTCATAATTTCACACTTGAATTGTTTCAATCTACCATAAGGAAAAAGATTTGCCAAAATAAAATTTAAAAAAAACAAGTGAATCCAAATAAGATCCTAACGATTTGAATATGGTCTCTTGTTTTTACAAGTCTAGCTAGAGTCTTTGATAAGACAAGCTAGGCAAGCATCTAAGAACTATGAATTAAGGCAGCACGGATTCAAAATTTAAATTTAACGAGTTTAATATTTAAAGTTTTTACTTTTTAATATCGACGACCTGATCATACATACATTTGAAAATATGGGTTCCAAATTAGATTATTTTGTTAAATTTTTGAATTTTTTTCATGTATATATATATTTGTATCGAAAATATTGAATTCAGCTAAATTCATCGTACTCGAATTTGGTTGGTTCTTGCATATACATATTTCCACATATCCAGCCTGTACAATTAATGTTTTGTCTAGCAATGTGATTTGTGAGGAGTGTCCCAACAACCAAAAGTAAGAGGAAATAAATGAAATACGTAGAACAAAATAAACACACACATATATATATATAAAATTCCTTGTGATCATATGGAGTATTGGTCCTGAAAATTAATGCTACTCAAATAAGACAGAAAAAATGTGAGACATATTTGTTATTGCGATACTAAACTTTCATAAGGACCTATTACCTTCCTTAGAGGTGTACAAAATCGAACCGAAAACCGAACCAAATCGCAAACTGAGTCAAACCGGAAAAAAAAAACCCGACTAGTGGTTTGGTTTGACTTGGTTTGGTATTAGAAAAAAAACCGACTATATTTGGGTTGGTTTGGTTTCAACTAAAAAAAACCAACCCGAGACCAAACCAACCCGACATTATATATATAATTTTAAAATTTTATTTTATACGTAAAAATATTTACTTTGATATAATTTTTAAATATTTCTTATACTTTTTCATAGTTTTTATCTTTTAATATATTATTTCATGTTTGAAAGTTAGAATTTTTAATGGTCCAATAAAGATTATAGTCCATAGATGTTGGTAATTATAATAAAACTTAAATCAAAATCAAATCAATACTAATGCAAAAAGAAAATCAATTCAACACTAAGAATGACAATAATATTGAATATTTGTTCTTTAGTTTTACATAGGTTTAGACAATTAAAATACATAATCTAATTTTAATTTGCTTTAAAATTTAGTCATGTAACTAATACTTATTAAATTTATTTTAGCATGATTTAGTACTTTTAAATTATGATCATTGTTATTATTTCTTATTAATTTACAATATTTGTTTTACGCGATTTCATTATCATTTTTTTGTTGGATATTTTAGTGTCATTAATCATATCATATTTTGTGTTATTTTCTTAAGAAACATCTTAGATAGTTGTATTTTGGTAGGACTAAAGAAATATTTGAAATACAAGTAAATTATATGTTTGTATGAATACTTTACCGGAAAAACTCGAAAAAATCCGAAAAAACCCGAGGTTGAAAAATCCGAGTTTTATTGGTTTGGTTTGGTTTATAAATTCAAAATTCCGACACAAATGATTTGGTTTGATATTTGAAAAACCCGAACCAACCCGGCCATGTACACCCCTAAGTCCTTCCTAGACTATTTAATACCGTATTTTTTACCCCCTGAACTATTTAATAGTGTATTTTAAAGGTATATATGTGCCCACGTGGACACATTACTATTTATAATTTTGCATTATTTTTTATGTCCAAGTGGGCAAATATATATGTTTAAAATACGGTATTAAATAGTCTAGGGAGGTAATAGGTCCTCATGTAAGTTTAGTATTGCACTAGCAAATCCGACCAAAGTTAGGGTATTTTTCAGACCCTTATC